AATAAACTGCTAAACTAATGTCTAGCATCAGGTTAATGCCAAGACTGCATTCATTCTAAAATTTCATTTTTATCTAGCAACATCTCAATTTCAAAAGGATGGCAGTACTTACAGTGCAACTTTTAAAAAAGAGTCCTAGAAATAGAATTACTGGGCCAACAAAGATACTGACTACTAAATTGCCATGTCACATTCATGTGAGTTTCCATTCCCACCAGAAGTGTAGGAGAATTCTAAGCAGAGGATTAAGTAATCTCAAAATTTTGCCAATCTGTAAGGGCAGCATTATACAATACAGCAACCATTGTCAGAGTTCCTATTGTTTTGTTTGTGAAGTTTTGTATTGTTTCTAGTATTTTTTTACTATTCTGTATTCTCTTTACATAATAAAAAGACTTTTTTTGGACAATCTAGTAGGAAAAAATAGTTTTATGTGACAGCCTCTACTGTTACATTTTCTTTCTTACTAGTAAGTTTCAGAATATATTAACAATTTGTGTTTTTCTTACTTTTTGAATTGCCCATTCATGTTTTATTCCTTCCTTCCTTGCTTGCTTGCTTGCTTGCTTTCATACCAGGGATCAAGCTCAGGCCTTTGCTGTTGCCAGGCAAGCACTTGTACTGCTGAGCTATACCCTCAGATCCTTTTTTCTATTTTTTTGAGACAAGCCCTTTCCATGTAGCTCAGTCTGCTCTTGAACACACAGTAATCCTTTTGCTTCAGCCTTCCGAGTGCTGGGATCATAGGAATGCACCACCACTACCAACTATCAGTATTTTTGGGGGGTTGGGGACAGGCATGAAGTTATTTGGCATCCTACAGGCTGAGAGTAAGCTTTATGATAGAGCATTTGCCTAGCATGCGAGAGACCTGGGTTCAACTTCCAGCATCAAGGAAAAAATTATTTGGCCTCTTGTGTAACACTTTCCCTCTAACAACAGAAAAGTTTTCTTGTGAATTTTCTAGGTGTTCATAACATTCTGACATTAATAAACTGCTAAACTAATGTCTAGCATCAGGTTAATGCCAAGACTGCATTCATTCTAAAATTTCATTTTTATCTAGCAACATCTCAATTTCAAAGGATGACAGTACTTACAGTGCAACTTTTAAAAAAGACAACTAAAAACAGATGAAGAATTTTAGTAGACATTTCCCCAAAGAAGATACACAATAGGCCAATTAGCATGTGGAAAGCTGCTCCGTGTCACTGGTCATTAGGGAAATGCAACTCCAACAACTTTAAACCTGTGGTATGTGAGTTACGCCTCCACAAAGCTGTTAGTAAAGGAAGCCTGCCCAAGGTGATGGCACACACCTGTGACACCAGCACTGAGGAGCAGGAAGTTGAGGCAGGAGGTTCACCGCAAGTTCAAGGCCAGCCTCAGGGACATAGGCCCTATCTCAAAAAATGAAAGAAAAAAGGAAGTCCAGAATAGATGCCACGTGTGACATCAAGAGAGTCTTAAAAGTAACATCTAGGAAAGTAACAAAAGAAGAAACCTAGGCAACAGACTGTAAACCTCTGCCCTAAGGGCCAGGGAGATGGCTCAGTGGATTAAGTGCTTCTGTGGGAAGCGCAAGGGCCTGAGTTCAATCCCTGGTTCTGCAAAAAAAAGTAAAAAAATGTAAACGCCTGACCTTATGACTCCAGCATAGTGTAGCTCGGCTGTATTTAAGCAGCTTCATTTTCCATTGTCTTCCTTTACAGTATCATCTTGGGCCAATTTAAAAAAAAATTTAAATACAGTGGACATGTAAAAAACATACAAAATATTTGATTGTGATGTTTTGTTCAAACTGCAGCTTTCACATGTTTTACTAAGGTTGTATTTTGCTATTCTCTTGGCCTTCAAATGAAACTACAATTTAAAGATACACCAGAAATATAGTGCCTTTTTTGTGGGTGGCAGCAAGCGAGAAGGGAGCGCCATGAAGGAAGGTCTCGGGCACACTCTGGGAATACAAGGTGGTGGAGTGCTGCCTACCCACCCGAGTCCTGCATACGGATTTTCGCATCCAACCGTGTCGCCAAGTCCCGTTTGTGGTACTTCATGTCCCAGCTGAAGAAGGTGAAGAAATCTTCAGGGGAGATCGTCTACTGTGGGCAGGTGTTTGAGAAGTCTCCGCTGCGGATGAAGAACTTTGGCATCTGGCTGTGCTGTGACTCCCGCAGTGGCACCTGCAACATGTACCGGGAGCACCAGGACCTGACCACAGTAGGCTACCCAGTGCTACCGGGACCTGGGCTCCAGCACCGAGCCCGCACCCACTCCATCCAGATCTCGAAGGTGGATGAGATCACAGCCAGCAGGTGCCGCCGGCCCGCTGGCAAGTGGTTCCATGACTCCAAGATCAAATTCTCACTGCCCCACCGGGTCCTTTGTCGTCAGCACCAGCCCCGCTTCACCACCTGGAGCCCCAACACCTTCTTCTAGAGGCAGTGCCAATAAACCTGGCACAGCTCCGCAAAAAAAAAAGAAAGAAAGAAAGAAAGAAAGAAAGAAAGAAAGAAAGAAAGAAAAAGAAATATAGCAATTTGTATGTAAGAAAGAAGATAGGACTTTTGGGTAAAATTTTCTAAACTCAGGCCAATTATCCTGTTTGTATCCAGATTCAAGATCTGAGTCCTCTTAAGAAGGTTATGTTTGTTTGTCTTTCAAATGGTATTAAGGCTTTTCATTATATTTTATAGATTACTGGCTGAGACAATGGTTCTCTTTCCATCGAATCAGGAGGAAGTTACTCTTTCTGTTTCTCCCCTGAATTTGTGCCTCAAGAGCTCTCGTGGGGGATCAAAGGGTAAGAACAAGACCAGCTGTGGAGGTTTGAGGGTGTTTGCTTCCTAGATGTCTTCGTTCCCAGCTATGAAGTATGTTAACAGCATAATGTTTATTATTGTCTTAAAAGCAGTGATATGTGGAAAGTTAAACTTTTTATTGTTGTGTTATCCAATAAGAGATCTAAGAAATTGAACATTACTAGTAATTGAGATATTTCTTGCCTGGCAAGTGCAAGGGTCTGAGTTCTATCCCCGGTTCCACAAAAAAAAAAAAAAAAAGAAATTGACTTTGAAATTCAGATTACCTCAAAGTTAAGAGAATTTTTACTGAGGAAAGTATATTTTCTTTTTTTGCGGAACAAGGGATTGAACTCAGGCCCTTGCACTTGCCAGGCAAGCACTTATTCTACTGTTCCATCTCCCTGGAAGGAAAGTGTATTTTCATTTTAGTTCCCCCCCCCCCAGGGTGGAGGGGGGAGGGCATGTACTGAAGATTGAACTCAAGACCTTGCACTTGCCAGGCGGGAACTTATCTCCCCAGCCCTTTTTTCTATTTCTCACCTACCATCTTTTCTGCTTTGCATAAAGAAAAACTATGAGGTCAGCAATCAAATTGAGTTGATCTTTGACTACATAGGAAGAAAAAGTAACTTTGAATTAGAAATGAGTCTTGCATTTGCTTGGGTTGATCTCAAATTCATGGGCTCCACCGATCTCCCTGCTCGTACTACAGTTGCACACCACCATGCCCAACTTGGAGTACATTTTTAGCATCAGAAAAAATTGCTAGGAGCCCAGTGCGGTAGCCCATGCCTATAATCTCAGAACTCTGGGAAGCTGAGGCAGGAAGATGTAAATTTGAACCCAGCCTGGGCAATTTAGCAAGTATTTTTGAGACAGGGTCTCACTATCCAGTTCAGGCTGGCCTCAGGCTCACAGTGATTCTCCTGCAGCCACCACCACACCCAGACATTTCGGCAGTTTAGCAAGAGCCTGTCTCAAAAAGCTTTTTAAAGGCTTGTGAATAGCTTAGTGTATAGATCTTGCGTTCAATCCCCAGTGCCACAAAACAAAACAATCTTGTTCTTTTTGGTACAACAAGCTGTTTAAAACTTTTGCTCTTGGCTAATTTGCCTTTATGAAGTTTTTTTTTTTAAATATATTCTGCTGTTTATTTATTTTTAGCATTTATTTATTGTGTGTGTGTGGCCAGCTCAGCCCACCAGGGGGCGGGACTGGCTGGCATGTGGTGCTGGGGGATTGAACCGCGGTCCCTGTGCTCTGCTAAGATTGTTCTAAGTAGGTGCTTTAGACCACTGAGCCATCTCTCCAGCCCCTAATTTGCCTTTAGTAGCAAGAGTTAAAAGAGAGAATGTAAAGGAAAGAACTCTATGATTTTAAAATGAAAAGCCAGTAGAACTAAGGCTTACGTTGGGTCAGGTGACTTTTGTAGCATTTAGTGTATGCGAAGATCTAGTTTAAGTCATTTGCGTTATGAATTTACATGATCTTCGTAACAGCTCTGTGGCGCAGGGACTGTTGTTGACTATGCAGGCACTGAAGCACAGATAGCTTGTGCGACTTGCTGGTGTCACACAGGCCGTAAGTGCTGGCTCAGGGTCTGCACACAGATAGTTGGTCCTGTAGGTGCAAGCTCCTAAAGCTGTGTTTTCATTGCCTCCCTCGAGTCTCATGCGGCGTCCTGTCTTGGCACTCAGCAGTACATGATCCGGAAAATACATGCTCAGCTAGGGAGAGGGTCTGTTTTGTGTTTCATTGTGTCATCTCTGCATACGGATGTTCATTTAGTAACCAGTCAACACCATCCCTTGTGAGTAGCTGTCTAATGAGTAGTTATGGTTTTGTTGCCTGGGATCCAACTGTTTAATCTTATTATAGAATTTGCTCTATGCTCGCACACTGGGCGTGAAGTGAGCTGTCCTGTTTGAGATGAATGTGCACTAAAAGTACTGCTGGGACATTTGAAGAATATGTATCTCTTAACTTCTGTTTTTACTGTGTATGTATAATTCATATCCATGGAAGAAAATGCAAAATATTTTTAAAAGCATCAATAAAAAGTTCATCTGAAATCCTAGTACCTAGAGATAAGTACTTTAATAATTTGGTGTATTGTCTCCTACACTTCAGATCAAACAGCAGGAGATTGGCTGAGTGAAGGGAATATTCTCTTTAAAATAAGAAAAAAAAAAGAAAGAAAGAAAAGGCAATGTTATTTGTATATGTGTAAATGCATTCCCCTCTGTCTGTGGGGATACATCATGGATGTTTATTGGAGTAGTTTTTTATGGGCTGGGGAGATACCTCAGTGGCACAGTGCTGCCTGGCAAGCATAAGGTCCTGAGTTCAATCCCTGGTACCAAAAAAAAAAAAAAAGAAATGGAGTAGTTTTATACTGAAAATCTCAAAATACCCACCTCCACATAGATAATTATAAAAGTATACTTATTGATATAGAAAATATTTAGGCTATATTATTGAATATATAATAAATTTTAAACATATACTTTATAAACATAAGATGATACATTAGGAACCAAAATTCAACACTTCTTTAAGGAAACCATCAGCCATGACCAAGTGGTATTTAATCCAAAATGCTAAGTTGGCTCAATACTATACTGTCTATATACAATGCTACATTAACAGTTCTAAGAAAAAAATGGATATGGCTATCTCCATAGTTGCCTTAAACAAGACGAAGAGCCTAGCACGTATTCTTCTGATGCACCCAGGACCAGCAAGACACTTTCCTGGCACAGTGAAAGTGTGCATCTTACTGAATGAGAGTGTGTCAGCATCACTTCCGACAATGATAAGAACTAAGTATGATGTCCCTGCTGGGACCAAATCCCCAACACCCACAACTTAAAGGAGCGGAGACCTATTCTGGCTCACAGCTGGGGATGGAAGGCCTCGCAGGGCCACCTCCAGCCAGGGCGCCCTCCCAGCGGCGCATTCAGTGGGAGCTCCTCAGTGGGTGTATTTGTTGCTGAGCACAGTACCCCCATGAGCTACTCACCTTTCCAACACAGGAGGCTTTCGGGGGACATTTTACATCGAAATTATAACATAAGGATGCCTCATCTATCTCCACTTCCATTTAGTATTATACTAGTTATTAACTGATGCTATTGGATGAGTCAGAGTCACTAAGGAAAAAGTGGCGGTATCCCGAGCTGCAGATGATGCAGTTGTACACCTAACAGATTAATGATAAAATTGAATCAGTAATCCAGACGCAATAGGATATAGCACAAATATGAAAAAATCAAATGGTTCTCATGTACATGAACAGTATTCAAAGGACGTAGTACTAGGGAACCAATTTATAATAGCAACAAAGAAGAATATATACATTGCGATACATATTCAATTTAATGAAACTCTGTCCACAGTATAAGGAAATATTATGGCTCATTAATGGCCAGATCAAACAGACACAGATGTGAGAATGAGACTTTTTTTTATTGTGCTGTAGACTGAACAGGGCCTTGTGTATGCTAAGCAGGTGCTCTGCCACTGAGCTACACTACTAACTTGAGAACGAGACTTAAAATAGAAATTTGCTTAGCTGAAGGGTTTGATTTCTAAAACACATGTCATTTACGATCCTGGTGTTGTAAGATTATGTTAAAGTTACTTTAACATATATTCATAAATGAATGATATTTAAGTTATTAAACATGGACATGAAAAAGAAAATAGTACATGTGAATCAAAATTGTACTTTTATGCCTTTCCCATTAGAAACTGTAAAATTCATCTCAGACCAACTTAAGCAAAAACTGGTATTTCACATGTATAGTCTGGTTTATATGAAATGCACTTTAAGGCAGGGTCTCTGTTATTAAGGAGTTCAAAAGGAAGGTAAGAAGCTTTGACTGAATCTCTCTTTTGAACAAAGGTATACTTAAAAATAGTATACAGATATTGTGGGGAGGAGAAGAGTGAGGCGAGAGGAAATGGAATGGGTTTGGGAGACAACATTTTTTTATTTTAAATTCATTGTATTTATTTATTTAGTATTTTAGGAAATGTTCTACAGTGTTCAGGGTCTCACTACTAGATCGGACTTGTAGTGATCTGCCTGTTTATAGCCTCCCAAGTGCTGGGATTACAGGCGCGCACCGCCACACCCAGTCTCAATCCTGGTCTCAGGGTGCCCGGGGGCAGGGCCAGCACAGCAGGCCTGGGGATCGAACCCCAGCCCCTGTGCCTGCTTGCAGGTGCTTTAATCCGCTGAGCTATTTGGCCGGCCCTTAAATTCATTTTATTTTTAAAAACAACTTTATTGAGATATAACTCACATACCATACAATTGAAAGTATACAATTAATTTTTTAGTATATGTAGACTTGTGCAGCCACCACCCACTTTAGAATATTTAAGCTTAGAATCTTTTAGAGTAGTCACCTCCCCCAAGAAACCCCAAGCCCACTAGCAGTCACTTCCCATTTTGTCCCCATCTCAGCCCTTGGTGACTACTAGTCCACTTTCTGCCTCTGTGACTTGTCTAGTCTAGGATACTTCATATATATGAAACCATCCAGCAAATGGCCTTTTATATCTATCTTCTTTCACTTAAATACAGGTCTTTTTGTTTTGCTTTTTTTGGGGGGAAGGGAATCAAAGTCAGGACTGTGGCTTGCCATGCAGGCGCTGTGCTGCTGAGCTATATCTCCAGCCCTTCACTTCTTTTTATTGCTGAATAATATTCCTTTGAATGGATATGCCAGATTTTATTGATTCATCCACCATTTGATAGGCATTTTGACTCTCACTTTAGTCTTTTTTCTTTTTTTTTTTTCACTTTAGTCTTAGTAGTAATGCTGCTATGAACAGTCACATATGAGCTTTTTGTGGACATATTTTTATTTATCTTGGCCATATACTTAGGAGTGCAATTGCTAAGTCTTGCAGTAACATCGTACTTAGCACTTTGAAAATATGCCAGCCTGTTTTCAGTGGTGGGGCACTGTTTTTGGTTTTCCTGTAGTGGAGACTGAACTCAGCAGGTTGCATGTAGGCAAGCACTTAGCCCTTGAGCTACTCCACTGCCCTTTTCAGTTTTTGAGACGGAATCACGCCAGGTTTCTCAGGCTGAGCGTTTGATCCTCCTGCTTCATCTCCTCGTGTGGCTGTGACTATGAATGCATGCCATCAGGCCAGCTCTGTCTCCTTTCCCTTTCCACTGCCAGTGTGTGGGGGTTCCGATTCTCTGCGTCCTTCACAGTACGTGCCATTGTCTGCCCTTGGCGTGCAGCCAGCCTAGTGGTGTGAAGTAGCGTCTCATTGTGGGTTTCATTTGCATTTTCCTAAGGACTAAGGATGCTGAGCATCTTTTTATGTGCTCATTGGTTATTTCTCTGGAGAAATGTCTGTTCAAATCTCTTTCCTTTTTTTCACTTGGATTGTTTTTTGTTTATTCAATGTACATATGATTTGCAAACATTTCCTCCAATTCTATTGGTTATGTTTTTTTTTTTTTTCTCCTCCCTTCTCTTTTTCCTTACTTTTTTCATGGTGCTGATAATTGACTACAGGGCCTCACATATATTAGGTAAGCACTGTACCACTAAGCTATATCCCCAGTCCTTTTTTTTTTCTCGAGACAGGGTCTTGCTGTGCAGTTCAGGCTGGGCTTGAGCTCACTTTGTAGCCTCTTGAACTTGCAATGATCCTCCAACCTCATCCTCCTGAGTGCTGGGATTATAGGTGTGCACCACCGCGCTCGGTCTGGTATGCAGAAAGTAGATGAGTGACTGCCAGCTGTGGGGCAGAGGGGTCTGGGGAGCAAACCTGAATGTTTGCAGGCATGGGGTTTCTTTCTGAGGCAATGAAAATATGTAGGAGCTAGAGGTGATGGCTGCACCCTCTTGTGAATATAGTAAAAACCACCTAAATGTATACTTACCATGGTGAGTGTTGGGTAAATGAAGTATATCTCAACTTAAAACTTTTAAATTCACTTTTTAATCTAGGTTTTACAATTTGGTGTAATACATTTTACTTTATCTCTTACTCTGTTTTTCATTAACTTTGGGTGGGGGTTAATTTTTGAAGCTTTTTTTGGAAACAAAATTGAAAGTAGTAAAATATAATATCTTTGTTACATGTAAACTATATTTACAGTAGTTCCCTTTAGAATAAACCAGGTTTTATGATATTCTGTTTATTAATTGCTTCTAACAAGCTACCTCAAGACAGTGCGTACAACAGTGATCTATCACGTCTCAGGTTCTCTCTGGGGCTGATGAGACCTAGCCCGGCGGTTCCCCCACGGGGTCTCATGCGCAGATGTGGGTAGTGGCAAGGCAGGAATCACCTGAGAGGTGATGAGGCCGTCCACACGTGGATTACGGTTGATGCAGGGAGCTCAGCTGGGCTGTCACCCACAGTGCCTGCCCACAGATGCCCTGAGCCTCCTGTGGTGTGGTGCTGGGTTACAAGAGGGGGGCACTGTAGGTGACAGGAGTGGGGACTGCCAGTCTCTTCAAGTTTGTCAGAAACGGGCTGAGATCATTTTGCAGTGACAAACAGAAGCACAAAACAACACCCAGGATTTGGAGGCAGATTCATTTTTTTGTTGGCGGGTCCTGATTGGGCTCATTCTCAGAGTATCAGGCCCTGCTCTCTGGTGGTCTCGGGCGCACATGGGATAAGCAAGCAGGAAGTACAGAGGCAGAACGGCTTGTCAGCTGGGGACTTTTTTTTTTGCGGAACCAGGGATTGAACTCAGGCCCTTGCACTTGCCAGGCAAGTGCTTATTCTACTGAGCCATCTCCCCAGCCCCTGGGGACTGGTTCTTACAGTATGCATCATAGTGACCAGTTTGCATGGAACAAAAGGAACCGGAGCTGTAGCTAGGAATCCTGGGCTACTGACAGTAAAGGATACTGCTGCGGGAGGTTGGGGGCCTTCTTTTGCTCCAACTTTGCCAGGCCCTGTTGGCCAGCCCACCCAGACTCAAGGGGAGGGAGGGGACATAGATCCAGGCCCAGACCCTGGCTCTCAGCTGAGGACTCTGAGAGAACTTGTGCTTTTTTTTTTTTTTTCAGTATTGGGGATTGAACTCAGACCCTGCACTTGCCAGGCAAGCACTTATTCTACTGAGCTATCTTCCCCTGCCTGACTTGTGCTATTTTTAACCTGTTTATTATTATGTTTTTGCATTAAAATTTTTTAAAAAGTCTTTGTAACTTTATTTTTCATTTTCCTATAACATTGAACAGATATGACCAATTCCGTGTACAGTGAGATGTTTATTGGCCCAGATGAGTTTGACTTCTTTCAGGTTGGGTTGGATACTGAAATAACATTTTGCTCCAAAGAGTTGAAGGTAAACACATCCTGGCGTTAAATGCAAATTTCTACCAGTAGTTCTTAATCAAGACTTAAAATTTTCTTCTCTTCTTCCTGCAGGGGGTGCTGATATTTTCAGAAGCTACACATGCTCCTGTGTCCATTCATTTTAATTTTCCTGGGAAGTAGGTCCTTGACAGCTGTTCTGCTTGCTTGCTTGCTTGCTTGCTTTCTGACAATAAAATTCTGAATTGTAGTGAAATTAACTCACACATCTCAGGAATTCCTTGACTTTACTAGCAACATTTATCAAACTAAATTTTGGAAAGATGCTATGAAATGATATTTTTAAATTGGTAACTTGATGGAGAAAGATGTATTCTTTGGCAGAATGAAACATTTATAAATTTGATATGCTGCTGAATAAATTACCTAATTAAAAAATTATATGTGGCTTAAGAAAGTTAAATCTCTATAAAACTATGATACTCTGTATGTGCTAGCACTAAAATTTTACTTACTCTTTTTTTTGGTGGAACCGGGGATTGAACTCAGGCCCTTGCGCTTGCCAGGGAAGTGCATATTCCACTGAGCCATCTCCCCGGCCTTAAAATTTTAAATTGAATCTGATGATTTCTAAAGGCCATTTTAACTCTCAGCAGTGTGTTAATTTAAGACAACACAAAAAGACATTTACTAATACTGTTCCTTTTTACTCCGTAATTATGTATCATCTTCTTTTTTTTTTCATTTATAATTCAGGTTTATGTATCATTTTCTAATGTGTCCCTAGTGTCATTTTTGCTCTCACTTTGCCTTCTTAGGCCCGTGGCTGTGAGTATTGTTGATATGCTACTGGAAGCCAACTTCATCTTATCTACGCTGGGTGATGACCCAAGCGGGGCATGTTCCCCACAAGCACTGTGTCTTTTCTCAGCAGGAAAAAAGTAAGGCATCTTTTAACTTGTTATTGGTTAAGAAAGCCACTGCCACTTTTCTGTGAAGCATTCCAGTGGCCTTCACTTAGGATAAAATTGGAATGAGACATTGTATCAGACATTTTGACTGAAACTGAGTTTTTCAGGCCAAATTATCACATAAAAATCCTCACTCGTCTTGTATAAGATGTCTGCTCCATTTCTTCTAGCCAGAATCTAACAGGACAATCTAGTTTATCTTTGTTATTACTCAAAACCCATTTTCACTTTTCAGTTGTTTCTTAAGAGTGCTAGAGTTTTGTTTTGTTTTGTTTTTTTAAACATTCCCCACTTTATTTTTTTTTACATTTATTTATTTATTTGTGTGTGTGGCCAGCTCAGCCCACCAGGGGGCGGGGCTGGCATGTGGTGCTGGGGGATTGAACCGCGGTCCCTGTGCTTTGTTTAGCTTAGCTTATTCTAAGTAGGTGCTTTAGACCACTGAGCCATCTCACCAGCCCAAGAGTGCTAGAGTTTTAAGTTTCACAGGAAAGTCTGTGTTCCTTACCTAGGACTCCTTCTTAGATGTAGGACAGCCAATCATTTTCTTACTTTTTTAAATAAAATTTTTTGGGAAAGGTATGTTTTATTGTAAAGTAACACAGAATTGCTATGAGAAATCTGGAAAATATAGAAAAGCACAAGAAAGAAAATAAAACTCATTCATAATTGCATCACCCAGAGATAGCTGCTATCAACATTTTAACTCACTATATTTCTTTTAATTTTACATATAATTAGATTTAGAAAAAAGATTTGGGCTGGGTGTGGTGGTACATCCCCATAGTCCCAGTTATTCTGGAGGCTGAGGTAGGAGGAGGCTAAATTTGAGGCCTTGGACCACTTAATGAGACCTCGTCTGAAAATGAAGTAAATAAAATAAAAGGTGTGCAGGCGTAGTTCAGTTGCAGAGCCCTTGCTCAGCGTGCCCAAGACCCTGGGTACTGTCGTTAGTATCACAAAAAAGTAAAAATCTAAAAAGCCAAGATTGGGATCCTATGTCAATTTGTGTCTTGGTTTTCCCATAAAATAGATTGTGAGCCTGTTCAGTACCGCTGATTTTGATTTAAAAGAAAAAGTTTTCATGGCCCCATAAAATTTTATCATACAGCTGTCCAGTGATTTGTTTAGTGATTTCTCCTCATCTGATCCTATCCCTGTATTATGTACATGATGTGTGTTGCATGTGCACTAAACTACTTTTCTGAAAGATCTTTTTTGCCAAGGGAATATTTAAATGACCATAGACATAAATCTGAACTTTCAACAATTCATTCAGTGTTATTTCAATATACTCCCTAAATCAGTACTCTTATAACTGTCATTCCATGTTGTTCATATATATATGAAATAAATTTCAAAGTAAAGAGTGTGTTCATTTAATGCCCATTAATATTTCAGGTCAGATGGGCGACAGTCAGATTCACAGGCTGGCAGAAGGGGAGCACCCCAGGCCCCAGAGTCTATATCGAGAAAAGCAGTCCCCAAAAGGCTTTGTCCTCGGGATACTCCCACAAAGGACTTGGTGGTGGAAGACCATGGCCAGCTCCAGCCAAAGAAGGCCAACCTGGATGACATCTGCAAGGTGTGCAAAAGCCGTGTGGGTGACACAGACAAAGAGCCGAACTCTTTTTCTCTTGGGAAGGTAAGAGAAAGATGTCCAGATATGGTCGCAGCGCCCTATGCCATCCTATGGCCCCAGCCTCAGGCTTGCTGAGCACCTGCTCTGACACTGAACTGTACCCCAGCCCCTTTCTTAATTTTTGCTAAGGGAGGTAAGGCTAGTCTCAGAGGGACAAGTCTGATTTATAGAATATCACTTCAAAATGGAGAGATTTGGATCACTTGTCTCAAGAATGAAGCATGACTGTTACATGAGGACTATCTCAGAATATATCTAGTATGCTAAGATCTCATAAATAATTCTCTTGATCACACACACAATGCACTTACTTTATCATGGGCACGAGAAATTTTTTCTGGCTCTTTCAGGTCCCTGAAATTCCCTAAGGTAGCTCATGTCCTCACTAGGGAAAGTGACCCTTAAAATTGTAAGTTTGGTGAACACCAATGCGGATCTCTTTACTTAGAATGTTCTATTACAGCATTAAGTTCTAAAAAGGTGGCTCTGTTTCTCAAGGATATTATTTGCCTCACTGTGGCAAAATCCTGTTAAACTGAAATTCTGTCCTGGAGGGTGTTGACAGCCCTTGCCTTGTCCCTGCAAAGGGCCTTGGCCAGCCTCCCCACCCCTCCAGTCTGCTTCTCTCTCATGGCTGAGGAGAGAGGGGCCAAACCTGAGACCTGCAGCTGTGGCCACATGTGTGTCTGAAGAGCTGACCTCCCTGGATTCAAACTTCTCTCTTGTCACCTCTTAGCCTTTAGCTGGATGAGTCACTGACATTTGTCTCAGTGTCCTTATCAGTAATACTTCATAGTAGACTTGCTGTGAAAATTAATGAAATTAATTTGGCTGACACACGGCCAGTGCTCCGGAAATGTTCTTCTGTTATGTTACTCTACTGCTTTCTTTGCACCTCTGCTTTTCTGGTAGGACTGAGCCAGAACTCCTTGACAGGGCCTTTCCCCAGAGTATTGAATCCAGTTTCCACCTGCCTGCCTTGTCAGGACTGCCAGGAATGGCAGATGGGTTTGAAGGAGCTGCCCCAGTGGCTTGCTTGGATAACCAATGGGAGGACGGGAAGGCAGCTGCCTAAAGCAGTCTCCGCCTAAGGAGCAGGCTCTGCCCGGTGCACCGAGACCACATCCCAGCCTGACCAAAGTCGTGGCCAACACAGTGCTAGTTACTTCACAATGCAGCCACTCCATTTGTTCACTTTTTTGTTATCCTTTTATTTAAAAATAATAGTAGACTTCCACTGGGCATTGTAGCCTTAAGCCCATACCCCACAGCAGTAGCAGAGCTTTGCCAGGCCAAGCACTCCCCGACACAGCATGGAGTTGGACTTCAGCAAAGGTTTTCCCAAACTGGTAGTTGAGAAATAGTAGTGCTTTAGTATGGTTTTCATTAGCATTTCTCTGAATTGTGAGACTGAGGATTTTATTTTTTATGTGTTTAAATCCCATTCTATGATTTTTGTGAATTGTTTATTCACATCTTTCCTTTTTTTTTTTTTTGGGATGGGTGGACAGCAGGACTTGAAGTCTGGACCTTGTGCTTACCAGGCAAGCACTGTGCCACTGAGCTATGCTGTTTATTTCTTTAAATTAGTGTATATATTTATCACTATTAGTCACTTATCTGTGATATATATGCTACATATCTTTTTCCTACTTTGTCAGTTGTGTTTTAAAGTTTGCCAGCCAATATTTTTTCATTTTATGTAGTCAAACTTATAAATTTAAAAATTGAGTCAAGCATGGTGACACAAGCCTGTAATCCCAGCACTCGGGAGGCTGAGGCAGAGCGATCACTGTGAGTTGAGGGGCAAAATGGGCTACAAGTGAGCTCAGACCCAGCCTGAATTACATAGTGAGACCCTGTCTTAAAAAACAAAAACAAGGGGCTGGAGAGATGGCTCAGTGGTCTAAAGCACCTACTTAGAACAAGCTTAGCAAAGCATCAGGGACCGCGGTTCAATCCCCCAGCACCACATGCCA